ATCCCCAGAGTATTTAATACTGGCTTGTGAGAGAATCTGGATGTGAGGAAGGGGGATCTGGCTCTTCTCTGTCATTGTTAAAGTGGGTGTCGAGGGGAGTTCTGCATAAGAAGAAAGGTTCTGTGTATCCTGAAAGGGGACTTGGGCAGTGGAAGGGTCTATGTGTGAAAGGAGGTCAAGCTATTAGATATCCCTGAATTGGGTTAGTGTGTGTGCGGGATCTTTCTGCAAATAAGGGGAATTCAGTTGATATGAAGAGGGGGCCTTAGATCCCTGGAATGAGTTATGGTGGGAGGGGGTCTTTTTGCAAAGAATACGTAAGGTTAATAATGTGAAAGGGGGTCTGGGAACCCCTGAATGAGTTAGGGTGCTTGTAAATGAAGACAAGAGGTCTAAATCAATGTGAAAGGGGGATTTGGGTATCCCAGAGGGAAATTAGAATTGCAGATGAGTTCTCAGTGCATAGAAAAGGTGATTGATGTGAAGAGTGTCTGGGTACCCTGGAGATACAAGTTAGGGTGGTGGGAAGGGTCTAGTTATGAAAAATGGGTTAGGTATTTGTGAAGATGGGTCTGGGTATTTTGGATAAGGGGTCAGGTTTCGGGGAGAGGGCCTTTATTTAAAGAAGACCTGGGTATCGTGGGGAAGTGGTTAAGTAGGAAAATCTAAGTACGCCGATGTGAAAAAAGTTGATTGGAGAAAGGGATAGTTTGATGTGAAGATCGTGGGCACCAGAGGGAGAGAGTGTGGATAGCAAGGGTTGTGTGTAAAGGAGAGGAGTTGCGCAATGCGAGGGTGCTTAAAGGTGTGGGGCATGGGGAAGTTTGAGCGATCTAGGTGTAAAAAGAGGTTCAGAGTCTCGGGGAGTGAGCAGAGGAAGAGCAAGACTGGAAGAAGTGGGTGGTTAAACCCTTTGTGGACTCCCCTGGGAGTGGAAATGGATAGTGAGTTGGTAGGGAGAGGAGTCAGTGGAAGGAGGTCTGAGTAGAGAGGACAAGGGTTCCTGTGTGATGGGTGGGGCCTTGGGCCAGCTTTGAGGCATTGGAGAATGAGGGATTGGACAGGTTACAGGGATTGGGTGGGTGGAGTTTGATTCTAGTTGATTCACCAGGAATGGACTGCTGGGAAGATTTTTGTGCTTGGTGCCCTTGTGTGTTGGGAGAAGAAAGATTGTTAGGAAGAGAGGTGGGAGTGGAAAATGGAAGCAAGAAGTTATAAGGGGATATAGATCTAGGTGGGGGGATGGTAAAGGGAAAGAATCATTCCTGAGAAGGACTGAAGAAGCAGTGGCTTAGTTGTGATTTGCCACAAAATCTCCCCTTTCCCAGCCCAGGGCCTTGCTGCCGCCATGACTGAAGAGTCAGAGGAGACGGTCCTGTACATTGAGCATCGCTTTGTCTGCTCTGAGTGCAACCAGCTCTATGGATCCCTGGAGGAGGTGCTCATGCACCAGAATTCCCATGTGCCCCAGCAGCACTTTGAGCTGGTGGGTGTGGCTGACCCTGGAGTCACTGTGGCCACAGAGGCAGCTTCTGGCACAGGCCTCTATCAGACTGTGGTGCAGGAGAGCCAGTACCAGTGCCTGGAATGTGGTCAACTGCTGATGTCCCCTAGCCAGCTCCTGGAGCACCAGGAGTTGCACCTAAAAATGATGGCACCTCAGGAGGTAGTGCCAACTGAATCGCCACCCAAGGTGCCCCCCCTGAGCTCCAGTACCATCCACTATGAGTGTGTTGATTGCAAGGCGCTCTTCGCCAGCCAGGAGCTCTGGCTGAACCACCGGCAGACGCACCTCCGGGCCACTCCCACCAAGCCTCCAGCCCCAGTTGTCCTAGGATCCCCCATGGGCCAGGCCCGTGTGGCCGTGGAACACTCATACCGCAAAGCAGAAGAGGGTGGGGAAGGGGCAGCTGTCCCTTCTGCTGCTGCCACCACTACTGAGGTGGTGACTGAGGTGGAACTGCTCCTCTACAAGTGCTCTGAGTGCTCCCAGCTCTTCCAGTCGCCAGCTGACTTTCTGGAGCACCAAGCCACCCACTTCCCTGTTCCTGCCCCAGAGTCTGAGGAGCCTGCCTTGCAGCAGGAGACCCTGGCCCCATCACCTGCAGAGGTGCCTGTGACTCCGCCTGATCCCCTGCCATCCTCTGACCACAGTTACGAACTGCGCAACGGTGAAGCCATTGGGCGCGATCGGCGGGGGCGCAAGGCCCGGAGGAACAACAGTGGAGAGCCAGGTGGGACAGCCACCCAGGAGCTCTTTTGCTCAGCCTGTGATCAGCTCTTTCTTTCACCTCACCAGCTACAGCAGCACCTGCGGAGTCACCGGGAAGGTGTCTTTAAGTGCCCCCTGTGCAGTCGTGTCTTTCCCAGCCCTTCCAGTCTAGACCAGCACCTTGGAGATCACAGTAGCGAGTCTCACTTCCTGTGTGTGGACTGTGGCCTTGCCTTTGGCACAGAGGCACTCCTTCTGGCCCACCGGCGAGCTCACACCCCAAATCCTCTGCATTCATGTCCATGTGGAAAGAACTTTGTCAACCTCACCAAGTTCCTTTATCACCGGCGTACCCATGGGGTGGGAGGTGTTCCTCTACCCACAACACCAGTCCTACCAGAGGAGCCTGTCATTGGTTTCCCTGAGCCAGCTTCAGCAGAGACTGGAGAGCCAGAGGCTCCGGAGCCGCCAGTGTCTGAGGAGAGCTCAGCAGAACCCGCTGCCCCAGGTACCTACCGCTGCCTCCTATGCAGCCGTGAATTTGGCAAGGCATTACAGCTCACCCGGCACCAACGTTTTGTGCACAGGCTAGAACGGCGCCACAAGTGTGGCATTTGTGGCAAGATGTTCAAGAAGAAGTCTCATGTGCGCAACCACCTGCGCACACACACGGGCGAACGGCCCTTCCCCTGCCCAGACTGCTCTAAACCTTTCAACTCGCCTGCCAACTTAGCCCGCCACCGGCTCACGCACACAGGGGAGCGGCCCTACCGGTGTGGGGACTGTGGCAAAGCTTTCACCCAAAGCTCTACACTGAGGCAGCACCGCCTGGTGCATGCCCAACACTTCCCCTACCGCTGCCAAGAGTGCGGAGTGCGTTTTCACCGCCCCTACCGCTTGCTCATGCACCGCTACCACCACACTGGCGAGTACCCCTACAAGTGTCGCGAGTGCCCCCGCTCCTTCCTGCTGCGCCGGCTGCTGGAGGTGCACCAGCTTGTGGCCCATGCTGGGCGCCAGCCCCACCGCTGCTCATCCTGTGGGGCCGCCTTCCCTTCCTCACTGCGGCTCCGTGAGCATCGCTGTGCAGCTGCTGCTGCCCAGGGCCCACGGCGCTTTGAGTGTGGCACCTGTGGCAAGAAAGTGGGCTCAGCTGCTCGGCTACAAGCACATGAGGCGGCCCACGCAGCTGCTGGGCCTGGAGAGGTCCTGGCTAAGGAGCCCCCAGTCCCCAGGGCCCCGCGGGCAACTCGCACACAAGTTGCCCCCCCAGCAACCCTTGCAGGCACTGCTGCTGCAGCCCCTGCGGCCCCTGCCCGACGCCGGGGCTTAGAGTGCAGCGAATGCAAAAAGCTGTTTAGCACAGAGACATCACTGCAGGTGCACCGGCGCATACACACAGGAGAGCGGCCATACCCATGTCCAGACTGTGGCAAGGCCTTCCGTCAGAGTACCCATCTGAAGGACCACCGGCGCCTGCACACAGGTGAGCGGCCCTTTGCCTGTGAAGTGTGTGGCAAGGCCTTTGCCATCTCCATGCGCCTGGCAGAACATCGCCGCATTCACACGGGTGAAAGGCCCTATTCCTGCCCCGACTGTGGCAAGAGCTACCGTTCCTTCTCCAACCTATGGAAACACCGCAAGACCCACCAGCAGCAGCATCAGGCAGCTGTGCGGCAGCAGCTAGCAGAGGCAGAGGCTGCTGTTGGCCTGGCAGTGATGGAGACTGCAGTGGAGGCGCTGCCTTTGGTGGAAGCCATTGAGATCTACCCTCTGGCTGAGGCCGAGGGAGTCCAGATCAGTGGCTGACCCTGCCAGCTTCCCTCTTCAGAAGCACCATGCCCTGTTGCTGAAGAACCCCCTCCAACATCCCCTTAAATTTCTGTACAGTGCCCCTTCACCCTTCCCAACTGCTAATGTAAATTCTGTAACTGGATTTATTCTCTTATGAGGAGTGTTCTGGGGTCCCTAATATGCATAAAAGTGCCCCTCACCCTTCCACTTGTTAGCACTGGTGGCCCCAAAGTGAAATAGTCAATAAAAACTGATTTGGACATTATGTGCTTTCGGCTGTGCGGGGTGGAATTTGGGAACCATGAGCCCAGATACTTTTCATGGCTGTGTTCCCAGAATCTAGAATGGCCTGGCTAGTAGTAGGAGCTCAGTAAATATTTGTTAAATTGAAGAGGACCTGAATTCCAAGGTTATGGTATGGCATCTGGGGAGTAGGACTTCACTCTGGTTCTAGATGGAGGCAGCATGGTGCTCTTGCCACTAGAGGTCCCCACAGTTTCATAGAAAAGCCTGAAGCTGTTTTTACTGATGGTAGGAATATTTGGGGAAATCAGATTCTCACCACTGCTGTTTCCCACTTCCTGGCCTGATGTATCGTGTTGGCTTCCCCGGGGCCATCTATTTTCTCACTGGATCCCTATGGGCATATGCAAGTCTGGAAAAGGCATGATATTCCCGGCAGTAGGGGAGGGTGGCTCCTAGGACCAGACCCAGCTGTGGACTTGAAGATTCTAAGGGTTGGCTGGGGAAGGAAGCTTCAGAAGAGGTGACTTGATACCCACCTGAAGTTGGAGTCTGACTCGGCTAATAGGTGTTTGTTGGAAGAGGGATGGGTGGTGTGGCTGACTGATGTTTGAATAGTTTGTCTCAAGTACTACCTTACATTTTTTGGAATAATTTTTTTTTAATCCTCACACAAGGATATGTTTTTACTGATTTCAGAGAGAGAGAGAGACATCGGTTGCCTCCCGAATGCGCCCCACCAGGGATCAAATCCACAACCTTTTGGTGTACGGGATGATGCTCCAACCAGTTGAGCTACACCGGCCAGGGCTGTTTGGAATAATTTTCAGACTGATCCTGTGAGGAAAACATTATGCAGGGAAGGAATCCTCGGGCAAGGGAGGTGACTTGCCCAAGATCATTTAACCCAGAGAAATAATCAAGGGCAGAACTTGAATTAAAGTTTAATTTCATTTGGTTGAATCACCATATGCTTTATACTCTGCTGCCTTCTACATACTTGGTGGGCAAAGGAGATGGTGAGTGTGTGGCCATGGGAATGCTCAGTTACAATGCAGTCTTGTTTTTAAGAGGCAAATCCCAAGGAAAACAAGTGGCCCCCCCCCCCCGAACTTCAAAGATTACTCCAGCCTTTTTATTAGAATTCTTATTTGGAACACTAAAAAACGAGAAATAAGAGGGAAGCTGTTTGTACTGAAACCAGGGAAAAGGGAGGCCCAAGAGCTGCCCACTCAGTCTCTGATGACCACTTGGGCTTCCACATTACTCTGGACTCCCTTTAGCAGTCCTGTTCCCCTCTAGGCACTGGGGCTTTAAGACAGACTGGGTTAGCCTGTGGCTCTGGTGAGAAAATGAGGGCTCAGTGAGGGAAGAGACCAAGGCCACACAAGTGGTGGGGCCAGGGTAGAAACTAGGTCTAACACCATTAATAGGTTTTGCTACATTATGCTTACTGTTATCATTTTAAAAAAGAAAAATCACTCACCCATTTGGTATCTTGACAGCTCCTAATGAAGAGCAAGTGATCTGTGAAGCAGTTTTCACAGAGTGTTAATCCTAGGCACCTCTTTCAGTAACTTTATACCCTGCAGAAAGGATTCCAGCCACGTCAGCCCAGCATGCTCCCCTGCCTTAATCACCAGGTAAAGATTTGTCCTTAAACTGCCTCTTCTCACAAAAACCTGTAACATCCTATCCTGACAGTCATATCAAATCAGTACTGAGAACAATCAAGATTTGTGCTTGCAAACCCAGCTAAACATCAGACTGAAAAACTCAAGGTGTGGTTGACCCTAAGATAAAGATGTTTTGAGCAGAGAAAGGAGGCTCTGTGACAGTGGGTGACCACCCTACCTCTATCGTGGTTCCTTTTTAGGAAATTTTGGACTCACACCCTGAGGAAAAGTTATGTGTGCAAACAAATTTATGAACAAGACTCATCATTTACCATCACCCTGCTGAAATTTCCACAGTCCTCAATTAACCACTGTCAGAAAAGGTGGCACTAATCAAACCCTTGTTGGATGCTGGGGATTGAGTTGGACAGGCAAAGCTTCCCAAACTTTGTGTGTTAGGCGGTTCCCCCAGAGCTTTGGATCCAGCAAGCATGTATGTGTGTGACCTTGGAACCCATGTTCTGAACACAACAGTTCTGATGCAGGTGACTTGCAGACCCCTCTAATAGCTTTGTATTGCCAATTTATAGTTGGATATGGAAGCTAATAAGCAGAACTGTTAAGGGGACAGAATAGTGGTTCTCTAGTGCCCAATGTGTTCTTGACAAGAGGAGGCCCAAGTATGACTGTACAGGAGAGGGCATGTGGAGTGATTAAGCACATTCACAGGGCTACAGGTAGTTGCTAGTTCAGTTCCAGAGTGCTCTCAGGTGTGGTGTCTGCTGTCACAGGATTGATGACCTGAGTGACAAGGAACTTTTGGGTTGTATGGTTCTGACCATACCACCTTGCAGGCATCCTCAGAGTATTCTGAATCTCCATTCCAACATTCCATTCCCCTATCCCTACTGACTTATCTCTCAATCTTGCCAAAACAATGCAGTGCTGATATTTTTTAAATCTGAGTGATCGAAACCCTCCCACTCTTCCTTTCTCCTCTTCCCCATCCCTCACTATTGAATTTGCAGAATCCCAACACCTGAGTGCCATACATCAGAGGATGAAACAGTGACAAGGAGACCTGATGGCAGTGAGAAAACCCAGCTGTGATACCGTTCCTGGTTTTCAGTGGTGAAGTCTTGGTGATCAGTCCTTGGACTACCCTGAAAGCTGTTGTTACTTTCAAATGATTTAGTATGGGCACAAAAATTTGAGTGTAGTGCTGAAAAAAAAAGGGGGGGTGTGTACTTTGTTTCACCGACTTCAAGTTAACTCATTTTTTGTTTTAAATGTATATTTTTAATATTTTTACTGATTTCAGAGAGGAAGAGAGGGAGATAGAAACATCAATGACGAGAGAGAATCATTGATTGGCTGCTCCACGTGTGATTGAGCATGCAACCGGGGCATGTGCCCTCACTGGGAATTGAACCTCGACTTCCTGAGGTTGATGCTCAACCACTGAGCCACACCAGCTGGGCCAACTCAGATTTTTTTTTATTGTTTTTTGTGACTCCTCACCTGAGGATATTTTTCCATTGATTTTTTAGAGAGAGTGGAAGGGAGAGGAAGAGAGAGAGAGAAACATCAATGTGAGAGACACATCGATTGGTTGCCTCCTGCACACACCCTGACCAGGGCCAGGGAACCTGCAACCAAAGTACATGCCCTTGACTGGAATCAAACCTGGGACCCTTCAGTCAGCAGGCCGACGCTCTATCCACTCAGCCAAACCAACTAGGGCCCAACTCAGTTTTTAAAGGATTTTGTTAGTCCTCTGGGGATGGAAGTGGGGAAATACTGGTTTCCTGTTTTTTTGTGGTTCTCATTTATTAAAGACAATGTGCTTGAAATCTGCATCATTTAATTCTTACCAACCCCAGAATAGGTATTGTCCCTGTTACAGATGAGGACATTGAAGGTTACATATCAAAGATCACATATCTATAAAATGGCAGAACTGAGATTTGAATTCAGGAATTTGAATTCATCCTAAGTTTCAAACCTTTGTTTTCTGATTGGCAAAAAAAAACCCAAAAAACTTATTTTTTTAAAATTCTCACCCGAGGATATGCTTTTCATTGATATTTAGATGAAGGGGGAGAGAGAGGGGAAAAAATTGATGTCATCATTGACAGGTTGCCTCCAGTAAGGGCCCTGACTGGGGATTGAAGCCACAACCTGGGTATGTGCCCTGACCTTGACTGGGAATTTAACCTGCCACCTTTCCACCTTTTGCAGGACAGCAATCCAACCAACAGCCACGCCAGAGTGAATGTTTACCTAAACAGAAGTAAAGCCTGCCCCTCCCCAGTGCACACATACCCACCCCATACCCTGATTTCTCCCACCAACCTTCCCAGGAAAGAGAGGAGACCAAGGGAGAGCCGGCAGCATTTCTCTCTGTACAGTTTTTAATTTTTTATTTTTTGATGTTGTTCAGATGAATGACACACTCAAGTTACAAAAATGGGGCCTTAAAAGAAGCACATTGTACAATGAACAAGCAGATTGGAGTTAAGAACACTGAAACGCTAACCCGCTACCACGAGAAGAGACAGGAAGGGGGTGCAGGATGGGAAGGGAAGGGCTACCAACACAGGGGTCAGACAGAACTGAAACGGGGGGCTAACTTGGTGAGAATGGAGAAGGTCTCCAGGGCCTAATCAATTTCCAGAAGCCACTTTTTGGTCTCCTATGCCCACTCGTTGCCACCTCCTCCCATCGCCATTCCACCCAGTCATTCAAATGAGTAGGTGAAAGACACCCACCCAGCAAGGGCTGAGCCAACCAGATCTTTACATGGTGGGAGATCACCTTGCCCTAGTGCAGCCTTGGATTTGGGAGGTAGTGGTGGCAGCAGTGGGATAAGAAGCCTGGAAGGAGCCAGCAGAGAGGAGTTGATCAAAGATCAGGCCCCTGCTTTCCCCCAAAGACTCCTTGCCCCTTCCTTACCCACCATGATCCAAAGGCCTTCTCTACAGTTGTTGAGAGAGGCCCCCAGTCACCCTGCAATTATATAAATAAATAAATACTGAGCCCCTGGGCTTGGAGGACAGGATGGGGGAAGGGCAGCAGGGACAGAGGAAAGAGGAGGGGAGAGGAAGGGGGAGGCAGAGAGGAGGGGTCACAGACATAGTAAATAGTTGTCTCCGTCCCAGCAACACTTCTGTCTGGATTTTTCTCTCCTTTTTGTGTTTAACAAGGAGCTAACATCTCAAGGACAAATACTTAAAAATATACATTATTTTTTCTTTTTCTTTTTTTGTTTCGCCTTTGTCATCGTCATCTTGCTTTGGAGACTGCTGAGGTCAAAGTTCAAACCGCACGAAGGAACTGCGGCTTGTTTTGTGTATTTTTTTAATTTTAATTTTTTTCACTTTTTTTCCAACGTATAAAAAGGTAGCGGAGTTGTCTGTGGTTTTTTTTGTGTGTGTTTTTTTTAATGGTTAAATCTTTGGTTTGTTTCTTTTTTCTCTTGGAGGCCTTTATTTCTCGCACTTGCCTTTCCCACTCAGAGGCCAGTGGGGGGCCCGCGTGTCTCAATCTTGCTCAGTCCGTCTCACTCTCTCTCTCACTCAGTTCCCCCTACCCTGGGCTAAATGGGAGAGAGGCACCTGGGATCTGGGTGGGTGAGGAAATCTAGTCATGTCAGGAGGTCACCCGCGCTACATGGCTTGGATGTGGGGCTTAGAGACCCTCTCTCTCGGTCCTCCCCAGAGAAATAGATGAGTGGGAAATATATCCTTCCCCTTCCTCCTGATCTTAGTCCCAACTCATACAGGAGCCAGAGTTCCCAATCTCCACTCATCCCCACTTACACTACCCCTCACTCCCAGGAGACAACAGAGACCAGTGTTTTAGTTACTGGCATTTTTTTTTTTTTTTGGCACAATTAAAAGGTCCACCATCAAGCTAGACCCAGTCTCTGTCCCTTCCTCAAGCAGGAAGTCATGGTTGGGGAAAAGAGGAATTCAGAGGGTGCCCCCTGTCCCATTTCTCCAATCCATTCATCTTCCTCTCTTTCTAGCCCAGGCCCCTGGCCCCTCACCTCAGACATCACACCTAGCCCAGAGCCTGGTCTGGGGTCTCCCTCCCCAACCCCCATATAATGTTCCCCAACCCCCCAAATCTCTCTCTCACACAGACACACGGACACAGGCTCTGTACAGACCACAAAATAAAAACGATGAGATAGTTTTGTTTCCCGGAGTTCAGCCGGGGGACTGGAGTGGAAAGGGCAAGAGGGGAGTGGGGGGCACAAATTCCCCCATCACCTTCCCAACCCTGGCTCCCTTCTGCCCCCCAGCCCCTTGCCCTGGCTGGCCCCCAGCCAACGATATTTGGTTTCCTTTTTTTAACATTAAAGTTCTATGAGGTATTTGGTGCCTTATCTCGAGTCCTCGGGGGAGGGGGCCCAGGGGGGAGACCTGGGGCACACTTGCCCCTCCCTCCCTCCCATCCCCTTCCCAATATTTGGTTTCACAGCTGTAGTTAAAGCTTGGGATTTGGTTATTTTTCCCCCTCCCAGGAATTTTCTTTTATTCTTGTTTTTCTTTTCCCAGTTATAGGGGTTGTATGGGGAGGGTCCCCACCACCCCCCAGCTGCATGGGGGGGTCCCTCCACCAGTGTCAGGGCATCATTGGCCCTATCCCTGCTCCCTACTTCCTCCTCTGCTGTCTGCCCCACTCCCCCCATACTGGGGTTGGGGAGAGGTCCCAGGTGGCAGGACTTGATGGGGAGGAAGCAGGATGAAGTGGGTGGTGGTGAGTCCTGGATTTTTTTTCTCTTTTTTTCCCCATTTTATTCTTTTTTTTCTTTCTTTTTTTTTCTTTTTTTCTTTTTTTGGTCTGAAATCATAGTTTTTGTTTGAGTCATCTCCACCATGCCTTCCATGCTGCCTGTCTTCTCGGAGGGGTTTTTGGTTGTAATTCCTTTAACTTTGCTCTGCTCAAATGTCCTTATTGTCTGCCCAGGCCCTCTCAATAGTCTCTTCTCTTCAGGAAATAAAAATGGACAAACTCAGAGGTAGGGTGAGGGCATCAATTGAAATCCATTTAATTAATCCTGGATAGAGATTCTTACATTCCGGCGAGGCTGGCTGATGGCATGCCATCATGGGTGCCAGGGTCCGAGGGGCAGCCACTCCACTGCTACCAGACAGGGCACCCCAGACCCCCAAAACAGCCGAGTCTCTGCTGCCTCTGTGGCCCAGCCCAACAGTTTCATTTCCCGGGTGGGAGAAGGGAGACAAGAGAAAAAGAACATGGAGGCCTCAGGGCCCAGAGTGGCATCCGAGGCTCTGTCTGCCTCTCCTCAGTGTCCAGCAGCACTGTCTCGGGGGTTCCCCCTCCCTCTGCTCTGCTTGGCCCAGCGAGGGGCAGGGCCACGCTGATTTCCATGGCTCTCGTCCTTCACAGCAACACTTTGGTTTGAGGAGAGACACAGAAAGAACGAGATTGAGAGAGATGAGAGAAGAAGGAAGAGAGAGGGTAGTGAATGAGAGAGAGAGAGAGAGAGGGAGGGAGGGAGAGAGGAGAGAGAGAGAGGGTGGGAGGAGAGAGAAAGAGAGGGAGGGAGGAGAGAGAGAGAGAGAGAGAGAGAGAGAGAGAGAGAGAGAGAGGCAGAGAGAAAAGTTACAGAGGAGAGAGGACAGATGGACTAGAAAAAGAAATCAAAGGAGGAATCAAACCACCCGAAAGTGTGTTAGTTTTCCTTCATCCATTCTTTTTGTCTTCTTATTCCTTTTTTCCTGTTGTTGTTTTTTTAAAGCTTTTTCAGTTGATTGGGGTGGGGCAGGGAGTATGGGGCTCTTCACCCCAGTCCCTGGCACCCTCTCTCAGCCCTGCCCACCCGCTCCCATCTGCCCTGGCTGAGGGACAGGCCCTGCCCCAGCCGCCCCCCTCCGGCTTTCCCGAAGACGACGTCCATGAGGTATTTGTGAAGAGAAAGAAGCATCTGTCCTTCCATCAGCCTTGGGGACCAAGGGCCTGGACAGGGCTTGGCTCCGCCTCTCGGCTCCTTCTTATTCTTGAAGAGCTCTCTTCTTCTTTCCCTTAAATATATATATAAATTCTTTTTTCTAGTTTTAATTTATTGTTTGTTTGGTTTTTTGTTTTTGGTTCAAAACTTTGTTGGCCTCCACAATAGCAGGGGGCAAAGTGGCTCCCAGCGGTGTCTCCTCTGTCTGTCGACGTGGAGATGTGTCTGGCGCTGAGCAAACACAGGGTCCAGCCAAGACTAGAGGGAGGTCTCATAGGAGCAGTGGCTACCACAGTGCCCTCTCAGATGGGGACCACAGGTCATGGCACTGTCCCAGCCACACGGACCCTGATGGGGATGCCATCTCGAGGAACCCCACCACTGGGGTGAGTGCGTGTCTGCATGTGTCAGGGAGAGGAAGAGGCATCTGCCAGTATCAGAGGGGCACGGGGGAGTGGGGGGAAGTGAAGTGAGTTCTCTTTTTGGTTTCTGGTCAATGTCAAAGAACGTGAAGGATTCCACGGATAGGCACTGGAATATGAATTTTTTTTTCAGGGAAACTGACAGACAAGGATGGAAAGAAAGACAACTTGGATGCCCTCACCTCATTCCCTCTTGCCTGGAACTTCCACCTCCCCATAGGCCAGGGAGGGGGGAGGTCCCAGAGCACAGGAGGGTGACCCGGTGAGGGGGGACATGTGAGAGCTAGAACTTAGCAAAAATGGCCTAGCCCACCCTTCAAAGGGAAAAGGGGGAAGTACAGGGGTGAAAAGTCATCCCAGGCCTTCCCCTGCACTCTCCACTGGCGGGGGGAGGGAGGAGGTTAAAGCGAGACCCCCTGCCTGGGTGGGGAGAGCTGGGGGGAGGGGAAAGGACGCATGGTGGGGACACATTCTGTTGAACACAACGCTAAAAATTCTGTACATCCTTTGGATGAAGCTACTGAATATTTGGTGTAAGGTTGTTCAGGCCCTTTCTCTGTCACCTTTCGGAAAAGAACATTTGGTGGTGGTGCTGAGCCCCACCCCTCTGGCCCAGGCTGTGCCGTCTTCACTGGCCCAGGGCTGGGGGCTGGGGCTAGGAGGCTGGCACGTTCTCTTTTTCCTTCTTTGGCCCCCTGCTGGGGAGGCAAGGTTGCAGGTTGGCCCCACAGCCAGGGGCTCAGGGTGAGGTCCGCCCTCAGGCTTCTAGGCCCCTGGCTGGGGTTCTTATTTGGTGTCCTAGCTGTGAGGATGAGCACACTGAGGTCTGGCTTGCAACTGGTTTTTGGTTTGTTTGGTTGTGGGGGGGGGGTCTGTTTTTTGGTTTTTGTTTGTTTTTCACCTCTGGTTCCTTTGGGGCAGCTGGTTTCTGTTGTGATTATTTTTGGTTTTTTTTGTTGGTTTCTCTTCTTTCTTTCTTTTTTTTTTTTTTTTGGTTGTTAGATTTTTTTGGTCTTTTCTCCCTTATCACTCCTGCTCCAAGGCCCTCCTGCACTCCCATCGCTGGCCTCCTCGCTGTCTTCTAGACGGGGACCAAAGTGGGGGTCAGAGGAGTAGGAGGAGAGGCATGGTGGGCCCTCACTCGGGCTTGGACCCTGCCTCCGGCCCCCCTGGGCCTCCAGGGGTCTGTGCTGTGGCCTCACTGCAAGTGGAGGAGGAGGACGAGGAGGAGGAGGAAGAGGAGGAGGAGGAGGAGAGACCCGGAGACTTGCTGGAGATGGAGGCTGCCACAGCTGCAGCGGCTGCAGAGACCAGGCCCACACCAGGCGGGGCGCTGAGCAGGGGCAGCCGCCTGGTCTC